GTAACCTTTGACCACACACTTGGCAGAATTGGTATATTTCTGGAGGATTTGCGGTACTTGTCATCATGATTGGGATGGGGGGATTTGGGCGGATTTACGGAGGTGTGAGTAATCACACTTACAGTTGTTTCTTTCCATCAAGCCCTCCATGTTCACCTCTTTTTTATCCTCCACTAGATACTCCAAGGTAGACGTCAAGTCTGACCGTTTTATTTGGACTCCTAGATTTGGCGGTCAATCTAGATTCTGGCATGCAGACGGGTCTTTGGTTCCATTGAAATGTGCTGAGGTGCTTTCCATTCCTCCCCCTGTTTCCTCTATGCCTCCTTCAATTTGATCTCCATTGATACCGACCGATTCTTTTGATTCCTCAATCACTGTGTTCAAGTTTGACATTTCCAGGTTTTTATTGAGTGGTGAGATTGGTATCCTTGAAGCCGCTCTTCTAGCTTTTTCTTCCTGCTGTTTCTTCCTTTTGTTTTCTTTTTCCTCTTTTTGTAGTCTTTCTTTCTTCTCCTTTTCCAAGTTCTTTTTTAGAGTTCTTTGCTGTTTCTTGTAGAGCTTTAAGAAAGATCCGCTATTTTCTTGCTCTATATGCATTCACGCTTGCCAGTGTGTTTTGAACTTGAGAAGAGGAATATATGAGCAGAAAAGAGAGAAAACTTGGGAGAGGAAAACTAGGAGAGATCCTTAAAGGTTACCAGGGAGTAAAAGTCCGTTTGGTTGCCTCCGACCTCGCAGGCGTAGAGTTGTGAGGCATCTACCTGACGATCCGCAGGCAGACCACGTCTGCCTCAAGGCGTGTACCCAAGCAAAGTGTGTTTGGTACGACATCACTCAAAGCCGCTGACGTCCAGAATTATGGGTTTTCTTCAAACTTGAAAAAAACCAACTCATCCGTCTTCTCTTGGATTGAAAAAACAATGATCAATCATCTTTGAAAAAAACAATCATTCAAACTTTTTTGACAAACTTGTGATTATCCTGGCCTTCATCAATGCATCAATGTTATCATCACTCTCTATCTTTGCTATTGCATCGAGGCTGATTGAGTCCACTGTTGAGCAAGGTGCTTCAATACATACCCAAGCTCGTGGTTTCAAGTCTATCGGACTAGCCAGGTCAACCTGCGAGATTTGACCAAAACGTCAAACCTGGCAGGTTGACAAATTTGGCTGGCCAACCTGGAGGTAGACACCTCAAAGGTTGCCCGCGGCTTCTGTACTGAACAGCAGAACTTCAAGTGTATGCTTCAAACTGCCTTGAAGTGTACGCCTGATATTTCGGCTGGGTCAACCTGTGAGGTTGGAGGCAACCAAACGGACTCTAATGCTGGAGTGGGCAGGTCTAGGGGGAGCGGATTCAAGGAGTGAAAATCCTTGCTCTCTCACCCCGGGCCTCTATAAAGCCATGATGCTGTAGAAGCACAGGCATGGCTTGTGGTCTCACAGCCTTACACCTGTGACCTGGTTCTCCCTCTCTGAGAGCGTCCGCAATCGTTTGCGGTAACATTTGGCGTTAGCTAACCTAAATTTAACAATCTGTAGCCAGGGTCAACTATTTTCACACCAAATCCCACAGTCATTGTCTTTAACTTGGAGTTAAAGAAAGCTAAACTCCAAGTTAAAGACTGGGCCTACATGGTTGTCAGCTCTAGCTTGGAGCTAATCAATCCTCAAATTCAAGGCAACACACCTGAACACACAGATGCATATTTTTTCATTGCTCACATGCTCAACAACGTCAAATTTAACACACATTGACTTTTTGCCTTATCATTGAAGGATCATGTTTTTGATTGTTCCTGTGCTCAACTTGTAGCATGTATAACCAATCAAAATGAATTTGAATTCTTGCTTTCCATTGTTGGCTTAACATGTCTTAGGATTGACTGTTACAGACATACATCCACACTATAAGATTAATAATATACAGACATCTATGCTAGAAGATATGATTAGTAAGTGAATAAGAATGGAGATTAAAATCAATGGCTGAAAGTGAAAGGAATGCTGTGAAAACAATGAGTGATGTGATGGTTGTGCACAGGGCAAAGGTGGTGTTTGTGAACGTTGTAGTGAGAGGTAGTTGATGATGATGATTAGAGTGGTGTTGAATGATGAATGAAAACTGGAGCAAGGTGTGAGATTTGGATGAAGATTGAAGTTGAAGTCAAGGATTTGTATGGGGTTGACGGTAGATGACCGATCCAGTAATGTTGCATTGGTGTGAGGTCAAGATTGAAGTTAACTAAGGTGTCGGTAGGCTGAGATAAATTTGTCCCAGCCTCTGATTTTTTGTTGCAAAGCTAACTAACGATCAGTTAAAATTTGACCATTGTGGAAATTTCAAAATTGGTGAGTTAAATAGTTGCTATTCCCGCGACTTAACCCGACAATTGTGGATGCTCTAATGGAATACAGAGATGCCTCCGCAGTCTTGGGGTACTCCAATAATACAACAAGACCAGGCTGGTTGATTTTTATCTTGTGACATTTTTGGCCCATGTTGGGCAGCTGTTTGGGATATTGCTCTGGATTCTGTGGTGGAAAAATATTTCTTTGCTCATCAAATTAATGTAAACTAAAATCAAAAATCCTTATATAAAAATACACTGAGTGTGATATATTCTTGTATTCATGAAAAGAAGATTCACTTGGTCAGGGTAAGCAACAGTTAAGTCATTATGTACCTTAAGCTACTCCTGTTTGCTCATACTCCACTCCATAGAAAACCGTTCAATTGGTGTGCTTGTCCAAACCCTCCATTGTAGTAAAAAGAAAGAATAAGATCTCAAGTTCAAATGCCACAAGTTACAAATATTCATTCACTAGCTCAAGCTAGTGTTTTAACCTGTTTTAACCTCAATCTGCAATTTGACTTGCTTTGGTTACCAATATAGGGGCAAAAATCTGGTCATCTATTATTGGAGGTGTAATTATGTACAAAACTTACCTAGACCTGTCTTTGGCAGTGTGTCCATCTCTTTCAAGATTTGGCATTTTCAAGCAACAAATTGGTCAATGACTGAAATTTCTGTTTGTTCACAAATGTTTCACTCTTGGAGCTGCTCTCTCAGCAGTTTTGTTCTCACTTCAATCAAGTCCAACCTCTCAATCTCAACTCTTCAGACAATCCTTGAGCTCAGCTTTCTTATTACCTTTTCAGAAGAAATAGAGGAAAATACAACAATTTGAATGTTGGAGATGAGATGAAGGCGCTTAATAAACAATTCGGGATTGCTCATGGGATTTCTAGTTCTCTTAATGCGTTTGGACATTTGGTTCCTAGTGTGTTTGTCTGTCTTTGGGTCGGAGAACATGGTTTCTCTTGAAGATCTGTGATCCATTGATGGTTATCTACACCCGAAACTTTCAACTATTTTCAATCTGTTCAACATCAAAAAAATCGGCCTCCTTTCATTCTTTCTGTTGTCTCTATTTCTCACGAGCTCGCGGGCTCGTTCTGGCTCGTGCCGGCTCGTCACGATCTGTCACGATATGATGTGATCATCACTGTGGTCTCAATTTAAGTCTTTTCTCTGAATTTTGATCGGCGTGTGTGCCCCTTGTGCCAAATGTCTTCAAAGGTTTTTTTGATCATGATTCAACTTCTGCGGTAATGTTTGAATCTTTCGTGGGTCTTTGGGATCTTTCAAATGCCAGATTATCCCAGAGCGCTGGTGAGAATGCTCAAACATGCATGCTATTTCCCACCAGATTTTCTGGATCTGGAAGGACATCATCCAATTTATGTGCTGAGAGTTGAAGTCACTTTGTCTTGGTCTTCGTTCAATTTGAGAGCAAATGCACAACGATGAGAAGAAACCGAGCACCGTTGACCCTTTTCAAACCTACGTATAGATGCCATCAAATTGCGCTGAGTTGGAGTCACACTCACTGTCTCTGACTCAACTCGCCGCACATAAAATGGGGTAACGTCTGCAGCGTTGGCTAACGCGCAACGCCAAAGTCAGTCACTTTGCACCATCGAAGTGATCCGTGGCGCTGCCCAGCCAAAGCTTTTCGTATCACACGTAGAAAAATCTGGGCAGCTGGCAGCCGGGCAGCTTGTGAGGTGCAACACAGCCTCTCGTCAACGTCTTCAGACATAAACCTGCGGAGTGACACGAGAAGGATGATGGCATGTTTGAATGATCATAATTCATTTGAAAGAATTGATTTCTCGTTTCCGGTTTTCCTTTGTACCCCTATTTTGGTTCAAGACGGAATCTGAGTGAAAGTGCTTGGTTTAACATATCACCGAGATGGATTTCAAACAGCCTCACGTGCTTCCTTTCTCTCGATGCGGTGAACTTCATCAAGTTGTACAATTTGAGTGAACAGTGAGCACTCGACAAGCAGAGCCTCAACGAGCGGAAAGATGTGAGAGGTATGATGCACTGTTTAACAAGAGCGCTGAACGAGCCAATTTTGCAAGCAAAACCAGCTCGGTCGCGTGTCTCAGACCCTCGGAGTGCACTCGTATATGTATACTCGTGACAATTTGTCACCGACCTGTGACAGTTTGTCATGCACACATGACACGAGTGCACTACGAGAGTCTGAGTGTTACGGTGGCAGTGCATACTCAGGCCTGAGTGACGGTCTTATTCCTCCCGGTGAGCCGAGCTCAAACCTGATTCAACAGGACTCGAGGATCTCCAAGCAGGAGTCTGGCAGGCAGCACCAGTGGGATATTCCCACCAATGTCGGGTGAGGAGATTTCTACCTGCTTGTCAGGTAACGGCTTGGAACGCGCCGAGAAGAATGGAAAGAGTATGCCGGCAGCCTCGTCACTCAATCTCATCACTCAAGGTGACGAAAGGATTCGGCTATAAAAGCAGCACCTCCGGCTCGTTTCTTTTCCTCACTCCTCATCCACTTCACTCATCATTACACAAGTCTCATTAAAACCGTGCTAGCCTTACGACCTTTTACTATCAACTCTTAAAACCTGCACTTAGTCTTTAATAAACCTTTTTACGAACCAATCTCATCATGCATTTTACACTCCCACTCTTAGCTTTGTTGTGTGTCTTCCAGGCTGTTGTGGCTTTACCTACCCGATCTTCTGGTCTTGATACTGCCGCTGATTTGAGTCGTCGAGCTGGAAGTGAGCAGGTTGTTGCGGGTGGCAACGTCAAGGAGAAATCTATTGAACAAAAGTGTTTTGGCGGTATCAACAATATTTGGGGAGGCAATTTTCCATTCACTTACAATTACTATAACAGCCTTATGTATCAAAATGGGTTCTCCGGTCTTTGTAACTCTTACTTTGGGGGTGGTTTCCAATGGGGTACCTGCGGTTCGTACTTAGGATGCCCAGGTGCCGTCAACACATTTTACAACTCCTACCTCAGTGGATTCAACGGTCTTGGCGGCCCTTCCATATTCGGCTTGAATGACAAGGACTTGAAATCAGTAAGTCTTCCGATACATTTCCTTTTTGATCCTGTGTTTTTATGAATCCTGACCTCTCCCCCTGCTGTCTACTTTGCATTTTAGGACAAGAATGCTGTTTGAGCGGTCGGATTAATCGTTTTATGACTTTTCCTGGAATTTTATGATGGTTTGTTATAGATCATCCACTACTTTGTAGTTCGTTCTTATGCTGAATTTGTTTTTTGACCTTATGCTCACAGAATTTATCTTATGAACTCGAAATATTTTGATGTGATACGATGAACGATTTTGTTTTGTTTTCTTCTTCTTCTCTGTACTGCGCTGTTCTCCCTCGAAGTGTTTCACTATGTAGTTCAAACCTTCTTGCCCGATACGCCTATAAGTTAGTTCAAGTTTTTGTTTTGTTTTGTCTAGCTCCTTGTGATTGGTAATTCATCGGCAAACATGCGCTCGTGGACTACAAAACCTTGACATCATCTCAATGATGCGATTATGCGGTGCCTACATTTGACCTCATGCGCGTACTTTCCTAACATCTTCAATCTGTGATTTCCGAAAGATTTTAAACAGTACACCCTGCCGAGATGTGAAAGATCCATCCTTGCCTTAAAAGCCCTTTCTTGTTTTCGCGTTGATGAGATCATTGAACAATCTCGAATACGTACACTCACTTTAATCGTTGCTACTCGGATGCTTTAACTGAGTATCTCTAGAATAATCTTGACTACCTTACGAACAAGCTCTCGATTCGTATGATGCATCAAGACAGGCTAGAACCACTTGAGATTGCTACCTAGTGGGATGGTCTCAAGAACTTCATTTCTGAAAGCCAAGCGAGTCGATCATGAAGGGATTGTACGATGACAGCCTCAAGAAGTTCCATTCTATTTGGCTGACACTCCGTTATGTCGGTCCGTGTGAGGTGTTTATAATATATACTTCATCACAGTCGATGTGATGTGATTTATGTATTGGTTCAAGTGGAGTTCGCTATCAAGAATCAGCTTGGACCACTGATCGCGAATTGACGCATAGGAGAACCTGTGTACTAGTGTATAAATGATCGGCTGATGTACCCAGTTTGAATGATGTCGTGACATGCTGTTCTAAGAGTGTGATTAATGAGGAATAATGCCTATGAATTTCTGGTTGTACCATATATCACATCTTCCAAGCTTATCAAGGCTCAAGCCGAGGCCCAGGGATAAAGAGCGGAAGGCTAGAACCTCCTCATCGTAATTTCAAGAAGCTGATATGTATCTTTTGTAAGACAAACTTCATCATACGCGTTGACGCCATTCCTCGCATATTTAGGGACAGTAAGACGTATCACCTTAATCTGACTGTTCCAAATTCGGTAATACGAACAGCTCAGCTGGTGGAACTTTGTTACCCGTGCTTGATATCCTCATTACAGAGATAATATCATCGACGTAATAGCAAGGAATGTGTTAGCCACTTTCGATATCCTCGACAGCGCTCGCCAGTTTTCATCATGACGTTCAGCTTTGACATCTCGGGATCGTCTTGTCATCAAATAATGCGGATTGTGCACCGATAAACGCGCGATTGCGCTGCGGAGCTTCATCTCGACATGCCTGATCTCGGCCATGCTTAGCTTGAAACCGAATTCCACTTCTTATACTTGAACTCTAGCATGATTTTCTTCTTCCACTGGCTTGAATTCCCTCAAGTCCATTTGACGTAAGACTTAAAAACAATCTCGCACGACTCTTAGCACTTCCGTTTCATCATGTTTATTGGCTTTGACGTGCCACCGGATTCGACTGTGGTGAATTGGGAAGAAATCCGAAACTACGGATTGATGAACATCAGTCCACACCCTTCCAGGAGCCAGAAGACGCGCTTTCGTCTTCTCGCTGGCGGTATGGTCATCATGACACTGTTATATACAATAAACTTGTTCAAAGCCATGATCGATAAACAACTCTGGTTCTTCAAGACTGATAAATTAGGATATTGTCGACCGAATATCCATACTCTCTTACCACTGTTGTCTTGTATCGAGTGTATGCGTGAGTCGGGCTTGTGTTTCTTTCTTCCGAAACCTTTATTTGTTTCTACCAAAAAGCTAATGAATTTCCTGTGTGGTCCTAAAGTCGTCTTCGTCTCTATCGTTTTGTTAGAAAGGGATTACCAGGGCTATTTACATGTGTCCACGGTTTTTACCCTTCTTCTCTCATATACTTTTTTACATTTTGGCATTGTGACCCGTAGTAAGTGAATGATCACAGTGACCCTGCTTGAATTTTACTTACCCCATTTCTTTTCAACCGTTGCTGACAGCTTGGAGAATTTTGGCAAGTTTGCCTAGGACCTCAATTGAGCTCGGTGATAATCAAGCGGATCACCGGTCATCGATATCACCCCGCAAGTTCAACACTCTGATATGCCTACTATATTTTTCATTTCCTGTGGTCTTTATTCCACTACATATTTGGATGTCTTTAAATTCCTCCAAGGTCGGAAGACTATGGTTTCAAGTCATGCCTGTTTTGGACAACCTAATTCTCTTCAATGAAGGCACGATGAGTCAATCTCAGATTCAAGAGCTCAGTGGAACTGCTGAAGGAATGCTTAACACAGTACAAAATCCTTACATCCTCGCTATCCTCTTGTGGCGTATTGCTAGTGGTATCTACATGTTATTCATCACGGCTGAGATAGCTGTTTTCACTTACGCGTCTATCAGGCTTTTGAAGGCCTTGGGGAAACGACTTCGGGTAATTAGTCATGCCAAGGCTAACGCCGCTCAACTAGCAACCATCGATATTCACATGCAAGCGAGCCTCGTCAACATCACAGAGGTTTCACATCAAACTTTGGATCCCAGTCATCCAAAAAAAACAGCGGCTTGGTGGTGGATGTGGCTTACTTCGAATGATGACATTGAGCCGAGCGTGTGGAATGATATGGATAACGTGGTATTCAGCGAAGTGAGGTATCTAGAGGAGAATTATGGGACCATAAATCGCTATCGTCATGTGATTCTTTTTCAGTTGATTCTTTGTGGTATAGTGAAGGTGTCATTTTGGATCCTGGGCGCTCTGGTTGGTAAGCATCCATCTCTATATATCAACAAAATTTGAGCGGTACATCTATTGATCGTATCTTTCGGATCTCCACGATATGTATCATAGCTTTCAATGTATTTGAAGCTGTGTACGAAACTCCTGCAATAGATATTTTGTTGATTGTCTATGAATGGTCTAACTGGACTTGGGGAGCTCCCGGTATTTTACTTGCACTAGTCAGTCACTAATTTATGTGCCTTAAGTCGTATAGGCCTTTTTTTCTCCTAACAACATCAAACTCTTTCCGTTTTGACCATACATCAAAGACCACAACCTTGAGCAATTTCATGCCATCCCTTAGCGGAAACCTCAAAAGGAGTATATTGAAAAGAGATCATCAAAACTCATCACAGGTACCACCAGAAACCTTATCGCGGGGATTCCAACTTAGTCACATCAAAGTATGTGAAACCTTTTCTTCATGCCTCGCGAACCGAATTAAGTCTCATAACGTTCTCTCTCTCTACGGCAGCAATCGATTCAAAAAGGGTTCCAACACTTTTCTTACCGAATGATTTCCATAGCCTCCTTATTCAGATCTCGCTCAAATGAACGTGAAGTTCGACACGAAGGGCCGATTGTCATTGATTTTTCAAACCTGAGATATCATGAGAGTCTAAGAACGGTCGATCTCATCAAACTCAAATCATATCCTTTCGATGAAAAGATTGATCCTAACTCCCGAGATACAACTGATTTGGATGTTATCAAAGCCTTACGAGCTCAGGATGGCCAAGGTGTGGTACATGAGATTGACCCTTAAAATGGACATCAAGGTCCCTCTCAAAGTTCTAAAGAAGGGTTATCATCAACGTGTGTCATGTGTGAGAAGTATCAGACCGATCAGATTGCTTTAGGTTACCAGATGGTATTTAATCGTGACTCAGTCTATTTGCTTAACATCAAAGTCAGCTGCCTGGAATCTTTTAAATTACTTTTGTTGTCTTTGTTGTACAAGTAAACTCAATGTAGTATTAGATCTATAAATTCATTTGGTAAGTCAACCAGTGAGGAAAAATGACTCAGGAAAAGATGCAGTCTCAGAGCAATAACTATCGCAAATGACGAGGTAGACTTTCACGTGAAAGCACGAGACTTTTGGTGATCACAAAGATTGGAGATCTTAGGAAAGTATGCGCAAGAGTTCAAATGGGGAGACCGCGTCTTTGTCAATGTTTTGTAGTCCACAAGCGCATGTTTGCCAATGAATTATCGATCACAAGGAGCTAGACAAAACAAAACAAAAACTTGAACTAACTTATAGGCGTGTCGGGCAAGAAGGTTTGTACTACATAGTGAAACACTTCGAGGGAGAACAGCGCAGTACAGAGAAGAAAAAAAAGAAAACAGACAACAGACAACAGGAGCGTTCATCGTATCACATCAAAATCATTCGAGTTCATAAGATAAATTCTATAATGTGACAGAAGCAAAAGGTCAAAAAAATAAAGTCAGCATAAGAAAGAACTACAAAATGAAGGATCTATAACGTACCATCATAAAATTCCAAGAAAAGTCAAGCAATTTCAAATCTCAATACTACCACTTAAACAGCATTCGAGTCCTAAGATGCCAAAGTAAACAACAAAAGGAGTCCAAGAAGTCAGGATTCAAGAAAGATAAAGATTAATCCAAAGAAAATGTATAAAAAGACTTACTGATTTCAATTCTTTATCATTCAAAGTATATAAAGAAGACCCATAAAGACCACTAAATCCATTTAAGTAAGAGTTATAAAACGTATTAACCGAATTCGGACATCCAAAGTAAGAACCGCAAGTACCCCATTGATAACCACCGCCAAAGTAAGAGTTACAAAGACCAGGAAATCCATTGTTATACATCAAACTATTATAATAATTGTATGTGAATGGCATTTGTCCTGAGAAATAATTGTTGATTCCTCCATAACATTTTTCTTGAATAGATTTCTCTTTGATGTTTCCACCTGCAACAATCTCCTCACTTCCCGCTCGACGACTCAATTCAGCGACAGTATCAAGACCTGAAGATCTGAAGATCGGGTAGGTAAAGCTACAACTGCTTGCAAGACACATAACAAACTTAAGAGTGCGATTGTGAACTGCATGATGAGATTGGTTCGTAAGAAAAGTTTTGTTAAAGACTAATCAAAGGTTTTGATAATAAGAGTTTATAGTAAAAGGTCGTAAATCGAGCAAGATTTTGATAATGAGACTTTTGTAGTGAAGAGTAGAAATTGAATGGATGAGGAGTGAGGAGGAAAGAAAAACAAGCCTTGAGGTGCCACTTTTATAGCCGAATCCATTCATCGCATTGAGTGAAAAGGCATCCCTTTCACTCTCATGGTCCCTCTTCTTCTTGGTGCGCTGTAAGCCGTGACTTGAGGAGCAGGTCTTCCCACCGGCCGATTGGTGGGAAGCTCCCACCGGTGGATTTTCTACCGGTGTTCCGGAACGTGACGATGAGGCAGTGTTGGTTAAAAATGTGATCTCGGGCTCACGTCTTTACAATCAAAGTCATCAAAACACACAATGAACAGCGGTAGAGTGTAATTTAGAGCTTCTCATGACATCCTTCTGACGATGACGATAAACAACATGACCACTGATTCCGGTGATACTGACCGTTATTGAGAATGGAATTTTACACACGCCTGGATGATAGAAATCTCTGGTTGTCTCGAATACATCTCACGATTTCCATCCAGTGATGCCCTCAAGTTTGACCTTCATCAACCCTGAATGGCAGCTGAGCCTACAGTCGAGCATAGAATCAACCAACAGATACTCATCAGTATCACACAATGCTGTGCCGGTACGTGACCATCATTCCTTGATCACGAATCCATAATCGCCCATTAAATTTACAAGTTATCAATTAATTTGCTCAACTTCCTTCTACATAAAACTTTTGAAATCCAATAGAATCCAACCAATCCTTCCTGAACGACGAACATTTTCCTACAAAACTTGAAATCAAACTCACTTTACATTCTCACCAAAAAGATCGTAAACTTCTCAAGATTAAAACAAAAGTTAATCTTATTTTTTTTCTTTCTAAAAGTGCATCTAAGCATATTTGCATATACATAAACACTATCCAAATTTTTAACTGAGATGACTATTTTGCCATGGAGAGACGGTCATTTAGTCAAAGTAAACCGTTTCATTGACTTTCGAATACATTTTTTAAGACTTTTTTCCTTTTTACATATTTGCGTACCCTCCATTTTGAAGAAATGGTAGCTGTGTAGCCTGTAGGTAGTCATTTTCAACAAAGCGAATGATTTCGTGTTTGAAAAACATTCATGAATGAGTTATGTATCACTCTTGTTGGATTGAATTTGTAATATCCAATTATTTAAAATCACATTTCATGCTACACAAGTTCATAACACCAATAATACAAAAGAATGACAAAAAAAAACTCAAACTACAAATTGTAAAGATACAAAAACTACAAACTCGTACAACAAAAAGTGATCAAAAGAAAAAAGAAAAGTAAATCAAATGACTACTATGTATGTTTAACCTCTTTCAATAATAGGTAAATCATGATACATCGGAAACAACAAATCGACTACAAACCTACTAAAAGTAGACCCTTGAGTACCTACCACACCTTTCGAATGTCCCGAAACCATTGCATCAAGTAAAGGAGCAAACAAACCACCCAAGGAAACCTTATCGACCGAATTCATCAATCCATTCAATTCTGAACCTAATCCGAAATCATTCAAGATCGAAACACATGGAAAAGCTTTAAAGAATGGTCTTAGAGATGATTCACTAAACGGATTAACCGAATCGGTTGCAATATATAAGATTTGATTAAATTTTTCTAATCCTAATCCTGATTTGTGTAATTTGTTTCTACATTTCCGTTTCGAAACTCTTGGATTGGTGGTTCGGATTCGGTTCTGATCATTTGCAATAGCTTGGTTCAATAAAGAGATACTAAGGTTCATCGGACCGGTCACTAATCCTTCCAAAGCGTTCATGGCCCTCAAATGACTTTCAGATCTAAAAACACTATCACCTAATCTAATATGAACCGACCAATACTGATGATGACCACCTAAACTATGGATAATCTCTTGAGACCTTTTCTTCAAGATCCCATGAATCGAATCATCAGGTAACATAGCTTTCCTAATCAAACTTCGCATCCTGATCATCTCTTGTTGTTGAGCATTCGGCCGATGATGATCAATCTTGATTCTAGATGTACCAAACAATGAACCCAAACAAATCAATCGTTTTCCAGAAACCTTGACATCTAACTCCAAATCATCCTTCACCCGAACCAGTTTTCCAAACTTCCCTAAAACGCTTTCATCCACTACAACTTCTTGATTCGTAATTAAATACTTATAATCATAAACCTTTACATCTTTTAAATTATACAAATCATCCTTCAAATCCAAATCTAAATGTCGAACTAACAAGCCAGGTTCATAAACCCCTTTCGGCAAATCCTGTATCGAAATAAGTTGCGAAACCGATCCTAAATCCACAATCTGATCCCACCCAATCGTAGTAATCCCATTAAGAGATCCAAGACATTCACGTGAAAAAATAGAAGAAGACGAATTAAGTTGATGACAATGTTCTAATCCGATCTTAGATTGAGCAGTTGTAAGTCTATGACTCAGTTTCTCTGAACTGATATAAGGTATCGGAGTTCCCAAGAAACAAGGTGGGATCAATAATGTTCTGTTTAAAGCGTATGCCAACGTCAACGCGTTTTCTAATGCGATTCGTTGGTTATGGAAACCTGAATGTGGTAAATATGTTATATATCGTTTTGTTTTTAAGATTGGTTTAGGTCTTGGGATCGGAAACGGGTCGAGTTCAATAACTAATTATAAAACAAAACCATAAGTGTTTTAGAGATTTGGATGATCGATTTGATTGACTTACTTGATGGTTCATTTGGTTCATATTCTTGAATTGAAGTTAACGAATAGAATAGATTTCTCCAAAAGAAAGATAATAAGAATAAGAAAATCAAAAAGCAAATAATAAGTTTAATTTGATTAAATTTAATGGATGATGATTTATTAAAAGTAAAAGTAACAATCAAGCATGAATTTAAATAAGTTTTAATTTGATGATTTGTAGATTGTGACTGTGATGTGTTGTTGTTGTTGGTTTTGATATTCCTTGAAGGTGAAGGTGAAAGTGATAATGATAAACTTGAAATGGGTGCCAGTGGTCGAGGGTTGATTTTATTTTTATTTTTTTTAGGTGAATGAACCATTTTATCTATCACTTCAAGTGCTGTGGTAAACTCAAACTCAATTCTTCAATCTTCTCAAACCTCATTCATCCCATACTCTCAGTGATGCCTGATCTTACATTAAACCCATAACCCTACCTTGCCCAATAACCCATGCCCCTTCAAGTTGCCAAAGATAGCAAATGTTCTTGACACTCATCAGCAAATTTTCATCAATCAAGTGAACAACTCATTTCCCAATCCTACAAAATATTAATCTCAAAATTGGATTTTTGACATTAAATATGTGTATCAACGTTTTATTTACTTCATCATTTCTTTCCAGAAAATCACCACACAAGAGGAATGAAAAAGAAAAAAAAGTAGGATTAAATACAAAACATCAAAGAAAAAAGTAACCCAAAGTCTTAATATATGTATAGAAAAAAACATTCAGTATTGATATGGAGAAGAAGATATATTACACAAAATAAGAAAGATCATAAAGATGATGACTGAAAATCATATTCATGTGTTCACTTTTGATAATCTATCCAACGAATCTAAAAATTCATTAGGTGTTAAAATCTCAGTAGATCCATATGTAATCTTCTTACTTCCACCCATCCCACCACTAAGACTAGCTCGAGTCGCAAATTCCTAAAAAGAAAAAGTAAAACACATCAATCTTCCTAAAAACTGATATTCTCATACGAAAAAAGACAAAAAATCTACACATACCTGAAGATTCGAAGCTTCAACATATCCTCCTCCACCCACCACAAAGACAATCGCTTCACTAAAGCCAACTCTGGTTTTCTTATTATTCAGTCCTCCTAATGGCATGTTCCTACCTGATCTAGGATCAAATGTAAGATAATCATCTGTATCCATTAAAGCTTGATTAGATCCTGAACTTGGATCCATAACTGCTTCTACCAATCTGGTGACTCCAAAATCTTTCCTTCCTGGTAAAAAGTTTTTAACACCTGATAAGATATTATCAAATGCTCCTCCACCTAATCCTCCTTCTTTTAGACGATCTGTTAGCTAAGTTAGTCATATTTGAACAGAAAAATGTGATCAGTCATAACACCCATACGATACGATTCGGTCAAGAAGTGTGCCCAAGGAAGGTGAAGCTTTGGAAGATGCAGCTTGAATATCAAGACTTACCCGATTACTGATCGCACTAAACCCTCTAAACAGTTCACCACCTGGACCACCAGTGTTAGACATCGAAGTCGGCACACTAGCACTACCTAAACTCATCGAATTCGTCATCCTCAAGATCTCCCTAATCTTCTTAACATACTCCCAAATCCCCATCCTTTCCACTCCACATTCATTCAACGCTCTTTCATACTCTATCAAATCTTCCTTTGAGATCTCATTATTACTCAAATAATAAATCAACATCAATCTTAATTTATCATTCGGTTCATGTTTTTCTGGGTCTTTGAGAGCTTCTAATAAGCTTGGTCGGTTCTGTTTAGAAATCGAATCTTCCATTTGGAATAAAGTATCAAGCCCTCGATGTTTGATCCCTTGGAGTAAGGCGGTAGCAATGTTCATATGAGTGTCCAGTGTAGTTTTACGTGCGGTGAGTTCAGGCAGAGCGGTGATGGCAGCCTTTAGATGTGCAGCATTAGATGTGACGTCAATTTGTGAAACATCATTAATATCTCCAATCCCTGTTGACCGTGTAATCTCAGCTGCATCAGATTTATACCTAGATATCATCGAGCCAAGCAAAGTTTCCATATCAGCATAAAACGGAAACCGAAAGACTAGGTAAAAATACTCACTTGTTGAGTTCGGTATCAATCTCTTCTGCCACTTCTGGAAACGGCTTGCTAGAGTTTTTAGCCCAAAAGAAATCTTTACTATCAAGGTCATAGACCCTTTTCTGCAACCGACCAGCCTCTGGTGTCTGTTCCAAGTCAAAAAGAAAGGTTTCGTAAAGAGGTGTCAGAGCCCATCTATCTTTTGTTATGCATAATATACTGAAGAAAGTGAATAGAGTGATGTTGAAAGTGGAAACAGACCTCAACAGTGACACGATTGAGTTTCATCTCAAGTACATCATTAACCAGAGCTTGATAAGTCCAACTATGACTCAACATTGGTACCAGATCGATATTCCGATCGAGGATCAATAAGACCGGTCGTCCCGATTCCGACGTAAAGAGATGATTAGATCTTGATGACAAAAGATAATCACGTAATCGGCTATCCAACTTTCGAGCAACCATCTCCGCAGCATTTCCACGTGGACAACGAATGATCGGTAACTGGGCTATTATCCAATTCAAAGATCCAGAAGATTTAGTCAACTCTGATGAGTGGCGATCGGGCATGACTCACTCATTGTTGCTACTACACTGAAAAGTCCTTTTGCAATACTATCGGCAGTTTGTTCAACATCTTCTTCTGACGCACGCGGATCGTTCAGGATCTCGTATGTTGTCCGTTTAGGTCCTGAACTACTACCGGTATATGAAAGACAAAATAGATGAGGTTCAAGCACAATGAAATCGAGATACTGATCGTAAACCTAGGGTATTGGTGTTAAGGAAAGAAACCACAAGTCAAAGCGAATCATTGATGAATTGATTGATAATGATCAAAAGCTTACCTGTTCTACTGAAGCATCAGCCCCACTCTCAATCACTAAACTAGCCAATTCTTCCAACAAAGGTCTAGGTAAAGAACTAGTAAAGTTTAAATAAAACGTTTCATAGAGTCCTTTTTCAAGATCTCTACCGATCCGTTGAATTGATTCTCTAGTCGGACTAACAAAATAAATCGCAGGTACATCTGGAAGTGCTGGTCGATCTGTATTCAGTTGCATATGAAGTGTCACACCTAAAGATCTTAAGTCTTGAACTCTTAGACTCGTTGCTAGTATGTCTTGTGACCTTTGGTCTAGGATAAGCACTTTCCATGGTGGTAATGAACTCGGATCGGATTCAGTGCTGTTGGTGAGTTGTTGATTTGGATTGTTGAAACTCAGTAGAGTTTTTAGTGATTGGATTTGATATTCTCTTAGAGAAAGAGATGATGTTGCCATGTGATTGATGGATAGGTTGAGGATGAGAAGTGGTTGATGATGATGATGATGACTTTTCTGTTGGTCATCGATCACTTCTCATTCAAGAATACCACAGCGACAGCACCCCGGTCCCCGACTCCAGACATACCTGAGATCGGGTAGCAGCTGGGCATACCCGAAATCGGGTAGTAGTCGGACACCCTCCAAGATTCGGGTCATGAGAATGAAAGTCTGATATCATCCATTGTGATTTTTTACGCGACTCTCATTCTCGGCACACATAGAATCGTATCCTATCGTATCTCATCATTCTACCATAAGAGTCATGACACACAATAGTCGCCGCCGATATCATCACCCAACAGGGTCGAAGCCTGGAGAGCGTCCCGGGTCGACATACGTTCAAGAGAGATGGCTGATGATCAGCTGATGCCAAGCTTTCACAACTGCCCGAATCACAGCCTAATCGACAAGTTGAACGGGTCTTCCAATCGAATACAATAGTAACCTACGATGTCAAGTTCGAAGATCAGGAAAAGTTGAGGAGCATCGGTCATCGAGAAGGTGTTCCTGGCCTGAGTCTTGGCCATCGGAACACTCGGAAGACGCGGCACCTTCTCGGGTCGATGGCGGGAATGAGTCAAGTTGGAAGGCAAACACGGTTTGAAGTACATAGCTCGACCTGGTCACCATGAAATGGCAAAGCTCTGACCGAGACGGCGATGGTGGAACCAGATTCACCCTATTGCCAATGTTCTGAAGCTTGCCATTCCACATGCCGGCCTCCCTTTGCGGGTGTTGGATTTTGATCATGACTGCCATTTCCCTTCGAACAGACTACTCCAGCGCGATCGTCATTGGCTCTCCTAGCCTCTCTTCCTTCGCCTCTTTTACCTCGTCGATCGCTCAACGCCATTTGGCGATATATATCTCTTATAACTTGGCCGTTACCTACACCTCACCTCATTCTGTCCATCCTTCCAATATATCCTTACTACCATTTTCGACACTTCGATCACACTCGTCTAACTTTCCATAACAATTCAACACTAAGCTCTCCTTGACTAAATCTATTGCTTGTTGGAACGCGCGCTGGTAGCATACCTCGTACCCAAGCACAACCTATCTAATCAACTGATTCGTACGTTCATCTTGACTTGCTACTTTCTCGTGTCTATGTGAATCTTAACCTTTTGGCTTGTTTCATACATTTCTTTGACTCGGACCAAAGATTCAGACCGGCTCTGACCATGTCAGCACCCAACCCAACGATCGCAGAACGTCGAAGGAGTTCAGTCAGATTCACTGACGAAGAGTCGGTACCGACTTTCATTTCGATCCCACAAAACACATCGGAAGGCCGGTCTATTCGAGGGCGACCAGCTACCCCAGCTGCTAGCAAAGTGACTGAGGCGTACTTTGCGTCTTCGTCGGAAAGCTGCACGGCAAATGAGGATGATGATAATCAGTCAATCTATCACGAAAGTCAATGGACCGATGGAGAAGACCTTTCTCCACGCAGCCAGCCGCCAACAGCTGGAATGGACCCTCGTCCAGCTTTTCTAACCACACCTTCCACAACCTCAGCTCACTCGAGCGCGGTGATTCCGATCCCACCTCAAGCACATGCCGCCACTCCTTCTTATCAACCCTATTCACCTAATCAACCCACGCACCATGCTCTTCCATCGGCGCTGTCTCCTCTTCAATCGCAATTTGCTCCTTATTCCAGTTCGTCACCGCACCGCACTAATTTCTCTCCTCAGGTTCAAAACTTTCAAAATGTTGTTGCTTCGCAACCATCTATCTCACCTTTCTTGCCCCACGCACCTTCTGTCGGCACACCCTATCAATCCGCATTCCACGCTCCTGCCTCAGCACAAGTTCAACCACTCTCTCCCACCAAAGGGAGATTCAATCAATCGGGTGCCCCACGCCATCGCTCAATTCACGATATCGTGCCTAGTCAGCTCAACTATCCCGATGCCACTTACCAAAGCGTTGTTCATCAACATCGAAATTCCGCTCCCCATATCTATCCCACAGACTTTTCCGCGCTTCCTAAACCTGAATCGATGACGGTCAACCTAGAATGCCGGTGTCCAACTCCTGCTCCTCTGCTTCAATCACAGGCAACCAACGACACGTTCCACATGCGTCATCATGGGATGTATGACCCCTCTGAAGGACTCGAGGCTTTGCGAGAAGAGAGAAGAAGAGGTAGTGAAGATACCTTGGTGGGTCGGGGTGATATTGAGGCGGCAAACTCATCGCCGACCAAAGGAAAGTTCCCAAGTATCGAAACCGCAGGAAACATCGCCGGTAGCGACCCACAACATCGCACTTCTCAGCCACTCAAGCCTTCCCTGCGACGAAGTACGACTGAGGACATCGTCAACCACCAACCTGTGATGAACGCAGCCTGCATCGTTGACTCGCATGTTCATCGCCGTCGTGGTCAAAAAATCGGCCATCCCGAGGAAGACCCAGATCACAATACTGGTAATGAGAACGAACTCTCGAATCTCAAAGGTGGTGTACTCTCTCATCTGTTGGAGCTCTATGGTGCTGGTGGCCCAGTCGAACGATCTATCTCGGCTACCTCTGGTACAACCGCTGCCGAGAGTGTGGCAACCAGCCGCGTCAATTCAAATGACTCCCGAATCGTCCGCCGCAAAACAGCAGGCCGCCCTTCCTCTCGTCGTGGAGAAACACCTGAATTCGCCACTGACATCTTCTCTACCAACGGGGGTGGTGAAAAGCATGAGCGCTCAAAACATCAAGGCAGCCGTCGGCCCAGCCTTCACAGGCGCAAATCTCGCACTTCTGATGCTGGAGACAGCGATGGCGGTAGTGTTCGAAGCGCAAGATCTATTATGACTTTCCGCACTATAGTCGATCAGGTTCAAGATAGGATTCATAGTCGCAAGGCCAAAACTCGTCAACGCCGAGCCAGTATCACCATGCATGTTGCTGGTAAGTATCTCCTCAACATCTTGGTCATTGTTTGTACTGACGCTTATATACATCTCTGAATAGATATTCTGAAGCGACAAGACTTTATCCTCAAGCTTGCCAAAGCTTTGATGGCAACTGGGGCTCCTAGTCATCGATTAGAATCCCAATTGAGCGCCACTGCCCGTGTACTCGAGATCGATGCCCAGTTTGTCCACTTGCCCTCTATTGTCATTGCCACATTTGGAGACTGTGACACACGGACTTCCGAGACCCACTTTGTAAGTTGCATATCCTCATATGAATTTCTCTCTGTAATGACTAATGAAATGAATGATCAATCACGCAGGTAAAAGCCGTAGGAGATATCGCCTTGGGCCAGTTACATCGCGTCCATGAGATTTACAAAAGTGTGGTGCACGATCAAACTGGAGTGGGTGAAGGTAGCGCTGCGCTACATCGGATCTTGAATGAAGAGCCGATCTATACGGTCTGGCAGAGAATGATCATCGCTGCTTTTTGTTGCGGGATCATTTCAATGTTGGGTTTTGCTGGAAGTTTTGTGGACGCTGTCAGTTCTCTCTGTGATTTTTAGGATTTAAAGCTTCAGTGACTGATATTCCATGATTGACTTGATCAGTGGGTTTCAGCTGCCTTTGGAAGCTTTCTGGCTTTCATGCAATTGCGAGCGACCAAAAATCAAATGTATTCAAATATCTTTGAGATCTCCATTGCCACACTCGTCTCCTTTGTTGCTCGTGGACTTTCGACTACTCAATTTTTTTGTTACGAGTCTCTATCTTCTGCTGGTGTCGTGTTAATCCTTCCGGGATATACGATCTGTAAGTTCATCTCCACCTAGAGACCTATTCAAGCACATCGCATATACTCATTCTCTTCCTCTCAAAGTGTGCGGTTCATTGGAGTTGGCCTCCAAGAATTTGATCGCTGGCTCGGTGAGGATGGTTTACGCAGTGATTTACTCGCTGTTTTTGGTGAGTGACATTTTCAATGATATCTATCTACATACATAGCCTTATTGATTTTGAAACTCTGTAGGGATTTGGAATTTCGATTGGATCGGATTTTTATTATCTCTTGGATCCAAATGCACGAAGGATTGCAGCAATGCATGCTACCTCCCAGTCGTACTCTCTCGTAGGATCCTTCAGTGGATTGAACGGAACCTTACCCGTCATGGACGGGAAATTTACTCTCGCAAACAGTACTGCTGGAACCAATGATGCGCTTCTCAAGCAAGGCAATATTCAATGTTATCGGAATCCTGAATGGGAATGGTGGAGACAGAGCATCAATCCATGGTGGATGTTCCTTCTCGTTCCGGCCTTCTCGTTCTTCTTGAGTTTGTGGAACCTACAGCCCCTCAGAAGCAGGCAGATGCCAGTGATGGTGATCATCGCATGCGCTGGATGGGTCTGCAATTACTTTGCAAATCAATTTGTAAGTCCGATGACATATTCCTTACTTTTATAAGCTTTCTTCTACTGTGGCTTACATGGTCTTACTTGATAGATTTTCGATCGTTCCGATGTTGTTTCTTTCTTGGGAGCATTTGCGATTGGCTTAATGGGAAACATGTATTCTCGAGTCTTCAAGGGTACAGCATTTACGAGGTCAGTATCTTGTGTGAACGATTCGAGAGATTCTTTTAAGCTGACATTTCTGATTTATCCTTTCAAAACATCAGTATGGTCACCGGTGTTCTTTTCTTGGTTCCATCAGGTATCGCAGCTGCTGGTGGTCTTGCCATGACTTACCACTCCAATTCTGGGGACTCGTATAGTAATGGATTGGTGATTGGTAAGTAGATTGATCTATAATGATACGAACCACTATCCTACTTGTCTGACTTACTGATATATCTTCTTGTTTTCAAATAGGTTTCCGAATGGTACAGGTTGCCATCGGTATCACAGTTGGATTATTCTTTTCTTCTTTCGTGGTCTATTCTTTTGGACGTGGAAAGTCAAGTGCAGCGTTTACATTTTAATTTTTGATGGTGGGATGTGAAATGAAGAAAAGAGAAGATCATAAAGTTGACTAATGGGTTGCGATTAAATCACTTTTGAAATCTTGAATTGATTGGATTCTTTGTTCGTTTTCTTGTTCCGTATACTTGGTTGCTTTAATTTTCGTTCTTTGCTTTTCTCTCGTTTTTCTTTCATTCTTAATTCTCATTTTCACTTGGGTAATGGACATCTGTTGAATATCTTACTTCTTACTTAATGTATGGCATTTTGAATCTGTTCGCACTTAATATAAACCATACTGGTGTCTTGAAGGCCTTACTCTTTGATTGGGAACAGTCAAATTATGACATACATTCGGGTCTACTTACACATGAAGCCCATTGAGAGAGTATTTGAAAGATTTGAGAGATTTTTTTAAAGAGGCAAACAGCTTTTTCGCAAAAAACAGGCTTGGTAAGGTTATTATCTCTTGGCAGCGTAGCCACTCGCGAACAAAGAAACGGTATTGCACAAAGTTTCATTGAGGTTTGGGTGTACATACATGTTCACAGGTGAGATACAAAGGGGACTGTACAATGATTACATAGATTCTGATAGCTCAATGGTGCATTACTCCTGAGGGAACCACGAGGCTCATTCATCTTTGATCGAGTATCAATGGGGAAGAAAACTGAAGTCTTGTAATGTAACAAGGAAGACAACTAAGGGTTGGAATACGGTTGGGTATCGTTTTGCGCGCTTCTTTTTTGGCCAGACCTTTATGATTGTCTGGGGAGGGTGTAACACTGACATCCTTAATGCACTCGCATCAACTTAAGATTAGTTTGAAGAACTTTGAGTGGTTGTTGACTGTGATTCTTCGTGACCAGGAAGCGCCGGAGTAGATTGGTCGTTTGGATTGCCATCAACAGGATTGTTGGTTTGACCAAGTGATGTATGGTTAGATTGAGATGAAGACATGATATCATCAGGGTTAATAATATCATTTGAAGAAGTTTGAGTTCTTGTTGAAGAATCAGTATGATTCTTGAGCTGCAAACCTCTTTTCTGACCAATGCTATCCCACAGCTTAGATATTTCGTCAAGACGTTCAGCAGTAGGAAAGCCCGGAGCAATCAAAAGGCTATGAATTCTTTGAATATCTTCGGTATCGTTTGAGTTTGACGTCTTTGTCAAAGATGGATTGGGATTAGGCCGAAATCCCCCGGTTCGACGCAATACTTCCCCAAGGCCAGCCGGTCTTTGGGTTTGTTCGGATGTACGGTGCGACGGAGTGGATTGATGCTCTACATTGCTTGTAACCGTGGTATGGTCCTGGGGTTGATCAAGCGGCTGATTGGTAGGTTGGGTTGAGGACATATTGTTGTTGGGGTTGTTGATATAGGATCGGCTTGTTTCTTTTTTGTATCTGAAAGAAATAAAAGTTATGGAAGCGGATTGGAAATTAACACGAGTTGGATGATGGAGTTATGTATGGTTGATAATGCTGGAAAATAGATTTGTTCTTATGAGGATAGAAGTTGAGATTGGGTGTGGAGTTATGGTTTGATGAGAACAGGATTTAAGCAATCAAAAAGTCCCTTGAAGGTGTAATCTGAAAACCATAGAACTGCTTGACGAAGCCTCAATCTCCTGCGTTATAATTTCCTTTCGCGTCTGATCATGACCACTCCCTCGTCACCTTTTGCTTTTGTATTCTTTTGTTATTTTTGAAGTCGGTTCCACAATCAACTAAATCCGGTCACTTCTGGTCACCCTTTCCCGTTAGCAACTGATCATAGAAAGTTGAATCCCGACACACCGTTCGGAAGTCCTGCTCAAACCAGCTCTTTTGTCTAAGGTATCGAAAGAGGTGTTTTAAGTTCAAGCCTTCAATTTGACTCGTTTCCTTTCCCGCACATGGACGAGAGCTATGAACCTGTTACCTGACCCAGACTACCTTTTCTTTTGAAACCGTAGGAGCCTTAGTGCCTACTTTAAAATGGCCACCAAGCGAATTTAAATATCCGGTCACGCAGCAGCAGCGGCTGACAAGTCAAAGTAGAGGACCAGAAATAGGTGATCATTCAAGATACAGTGACGGTCAGAAAGGTGACTGAGAGCTAGTGGGTGGAAATATCGCTGCTCTGGTTCAAACTTGAACAAAAACAGGCAAACTTCACTCAATTCCCTCCGAGATAGTTTCATGCGATTTTCATGACTTCAAACTTCAAAGACGTGAAGTTCCAAGAGATCTTTTCTGCGAGGCAATTGAAGCAATATGCCTTTGAATCAACAACGCATTTCCGGATCAATATGTACTTCTTCTTCCTTCGCTTTGCAGGAATCGCCTGGAATCGCCCTCCTGGCTCCCGTTCTTCGCGCAATCACCCCAAGCGCGCCCTGGCACGGATCTTCAAAGCCCAAAACTTGCACTCTGCCGGATGCACATCGAACGGATTGGGAGATGGAACCTAATTGTGATTGTTCTTATGAGAAAGAGGTGTGTTTTCCGCTAATACAAGAACCTTAGCGCTCAGGTCGCTCTAGACTCACCCAGTCAAAGAGGCTGCTTACACTCACAAATCAGCTAGAGCTTCTAAAAAACAGCGCGACTCGACTTTTCACAAGTTCAAGCCAACTCTTCTCATTTTCTCCTTCTCCTATCTCTCAACTTTTCAACATCGGTCTTTCTTTTTAAAAACTCTTACAACATGCGAGTCGAGGATTTCGTTTTACCAAACAGTATTGAAGATTGGGTTAGTTTGCGGAAAGAAATTAGCCGAGAGTTTCATTATCAACACTCGCAGGGGAGCATGACACTTGTGATCTTGCTCATGAGCTCACATGTCATGTCGATGATCCTATTTATGGTGAGTGCTATTAAGCACAGTCGGACCAAGGACAGTACCACCTCCATCATTGACTCAGAAGGTTATATTCGCCCGAGAATGCACACAACTACACCTGTCTTAGTGGCCATATACTGTACTAGTGAGTCTCAATGAAGGATCGTACTTGGAAGGGATCCCAATTTAACTCTAACAATACCTTTCGATGGCCATGCTCTCAATTATTCCTGTTTGCTGGATATCAGTCGCATTTCTGGCACTTGGTTCCTTTTTGCATGAATTGAATGTATGCACGGCCAGTCTTCATATGGTCTCCATATCTTGTCAGGAATTTTTCTTTTGACGGTCAGATCAGGACTACGAGTCAACCAGATAACTGATCTTTTTCGTGATCTTTTCTTTGCTTCCGCGCAGTTGGATTGATCATGGCTTGAGAACAAGGTGAGTGCAGCTCTTCTCTTCAAAAAACTGGGCAAGGCTCCTTCCCACCAAGGCGATGCATCAATGCTCATGTCTATAAAATGTAGTCATCTTAACGGCTTACGCCATGCCCTCTCGAAAGTATCGATTTCAAACCATGAGTTGGTCTCCACGAAGCCGAAAGATAGAAAGACACATTCTGACTCCCAATCAATTCAACTTCATCATCATCGCTGGGGTACTTTTTCCTTTTGTGGTGCCGGTAATCTCAGGCATTCCAGCCATCAAGAGCTTTGCTCGTGCGAACGCCCAATGGAAGGTATTTGATACGAATTGTCACGATTTCATTCATTTTCTGAAAAACACTTCAGTCCCTCTTGACTCAACAAATAATATCTTAAAAAATACCAAGGAAACACAAATGTTATTGCAACTCCTTGAGCTTTTGAATCTAGGCGATAAGATTGCGGTTTATAACCGTTGGACAGGTGGACTTTATTTTTTTGTGGCTTTTGTACAAACTTTCATGGGATTGATTCTACAGATTAGTATTCTTCGATGTTTATTTTCAAGACTCAAGGTTTTGAGGGATCGTTGCATACAATGGCAAAAACTGAGATTAGAACTACCAGTTTCAAATTCGGAGGTGTCCTTTTCGATTTTCAAAGAATCAATTCATGGAGGACAAGATAATGGTACAATCGATTTGAAGGATAGACCGTTTGAAAGCTGGACTGATTGGCTACCAAGATACACCTCTGCCAGTGGAAATGGATCTCAATCGATATCTCATCCAATGGATGAGAAGGAACTCTTTGAAGGCACATCAGATGGAAGAACTCTTCAACAGCAGTATATCATCACGAGGGTTTATACAATCAATTTTACATGGGTGGCGGTCTTGATGTTGTTTGCGATGTTGTCCACAATGCTATGCGCATTAGCAAGTGGTCAGTCTTATGCTACCATTTCATCAAAGAAGCATTATGGAATGATGATTGACGTTTATGTTGATTTTTACTCAAGCTTTGAATTGGTATGATTCACCGAAGAAGCGAACCTATTTGCAAGCCTTGGTTTTTCAAATCATGTGGACAAATGCAACTTGGGGGTAATGCCAAATCTCACGTCTTTATTGATGCATTGATAGATATCTAATCGTGATACATTATCTTTTTTTAATCGGGGATTCTTTGAACTAAAACCAATCAGTGAGTAATCATGTGCAACCACATCCTATATCTTACACTTGACCTGTCTTGCTATTCAACTTACCACTTCGCACTCTCTCTTTTACGATCAAAAGGTGGTGGTTCAGGCATTTTGCAAGGTATCGTAAGTGACATGAACTAGAATCAGGTTGAAAGCCCAATAATCGCGTTACAATTCCCATTTTCTAACTTCAAAAACCTTTGAATTTTTACAAAGCTCAAAATCATGATTACATCTTCGCCTGTACCGGTCCTACCACGCGAGCCATCAGCAGCTCCAATCGCACACAGCGATGAAGAATAATGACTCGATACTACCAGTCAGTTTACAATTAAATTTACCTTCTTTCAATCATCATTAGCTCAATCCTTGCTGACAATCACAACAACATCTAATTCCTGCTTTTTCTCAACGGTTTCCAAAAGACGATTTCTTATCACCCAAACTTCATCTTCAAAACCTTTCGTTTTTCAGATCACCTTTTTTTGTTATTGTTTCCAATTTCCATCAGACGTATGCTGCTGTATATTCAAACATGTTGTTCTACGGAATTGTATCAGTCTATATCTTTTTTTATCAAACTTTCCTCACTTAAATATCATTCACAACCTGATGACAGTAATCAAGCTTTATGATTCTCATGACATGCTTTAGAAATATCAACATTTCATTTAAATTTTCAGCCTTCCATCGAAGTGCAGATAAATATTACAGCCACCTTAACAACCTTTTCCCAAAAGGTTCTACATTTATCTACCATTTGTAAAAAAAACACTTGCTTTAAGGACCCGACAATCCACTGAAATCCTTCAAGGTCACTTCGCGTAAACATGAAAAAGGAATGCACTGTCGGGGATTCGAACCCCGGACTAAAGCTGTTCTTAATGGAAGGCTTCAATGCTAACCGCTACACCAACAGCGCATGTCTGTATTTCGGTAATGTGCCTGTGAGAAGAAATGTAACCTGCATGCAGCTCCAAGGAAGTTTACCCCTTTGAGCGGGGATTTTGAGGTGATTAGTGTATATCATGATTTTGAAAAGTTTCTTAAATGTTTAATAGGAGTTGATCACTCAGTATGGACCAATTGGACAATAGTTCAAATAGAAGGTCTTATGTTGAATTGTATCTGGCCTTGTGAGTCCAATTTTGTTTTATGATCATCCTCTTCATTCAACTACCAATATCCTTGAGCTTCAACCCATCCTTGTTCTTTGCTTGACTTTTCTTCTTGTCATCTTACCTTTTCCATTGAAATGTAGCCTTTGTTATGATTTTGTATTTTATGTATGTAAAGACCACGTGTTTGAGATTTCCTAAAATTCTGTTCAAGTTATTTACAATGAAGTTTATTCAAACTTCTTATCTAGCTCAATGCTACATCATTAACTTTTCAATACCTACAAGAAACATTGAGTCATTCTTCAAAAAATAACAACAAGAACAACAAAGAGATTTATTTGTTCAAGAAATTGAATGAAATTTATGATTTAAAGAAGGATCCCACTATTTAGCGCCCCCTTGGGCAATATCCGGCGCCCCTTGAGTTTTGATCAATACCCGTGTGGCCCGTCAAAACCCGAGCACTATCAGCCTAAGTTTTGCTGAGTCGGACCCTGAGGGCTCCTTGAGGGCTCCTCACGGGGGCACAACTTCACAGATGAGCCCTTTATTTGACATTTTTGGTGCCCTTCCATCCTCGATGGGGCGACAAACATCATTGAAGCAAATGAAAGGGCACCTAAGTTCTTTTGCGCCCGGACCGACCCCATGACTGCACGGACATCGGCCCCTCAAGTCACTCCTTGTTGAACTTTTCCTTCTTTCCTGTCCCCCCCACTGATCACATATTCAAACTTCAAACAACAACCTTCAACACACCCATCAACCTTACATCAACCTAGCAGTTCCTCCTCGATAAATTCAAGCTTATAAAACCATCAAACATTTAAAATCATTACTAATCTCATCCAAGACAAGATATGACTCAAAATTCAAATCTGATCTAGACTCAGCATAGGATCAGCATCAAGAACTCCCAATCTAGACTCAATATCAAGATCACTGTCAGCATTACCTCAACTTGAATGTTTCTCATTTCACTGTAGGTCATCAAAACCAACAAACTTGGATCCTCCAGCTTTATCAAATCTACATAACTCAGGTTTTACACTTTATGTCATGTTTTAAAAACATTTACTCACTTTACTCAAACTAAATAGCAGATGTTCAAAACCGTTGAACGTTTTTTAAACAATGTAGATGACAAAGGTTTAGGTCAAGTCTTTGAGCCGATTAAAGATACCTTAGAAGGTAACCATATGGTGTTCGATGTCATCTCACTCACCAATCAACTTGCGATGAAATCTTGGTCTGTCCAAACAGTTTCCTTTGTATATATTGCCAAACCATTTCCTATACTGATTTCTTCCCTTGTTTTTCAGGAACCAGATATCAAACTCAAGGGCCCAACTGAATGAGTCATTACACTTACTCAACACTCGTTCAAAACAAACTTCATCTTTGTACACTTTCTAGCACGGTGTAGTCTTGTATAACTGAAATTAAAGCAATGAAAATATTCAAACATCTTTGTTTGGGTTCTTGAACATCAAGACGGCTAAAGATACTGTCAGGAGCTTGCCGTATAGATTAGCATTCAGCGCTCTTGATGGGGAAAACAAGGACAAGAAGCCGAGTTGATTTTTTTTAAATCTATTCTTTTTTGACTGGGATAGTCTCAATTCAAATTCAAAAGAGTTGAGTTGAGCTTACATATTTGAGGCATTAACAATCCCCTTTTTTGCCTCGTATATCTTCGGTCCAGTCAAAATGATGTATTATCTACCAATGTCCCATCTTATGTTTTAAGACCGATATCTTGTATCAACCCCCGATGCATAAGATATGTTCATGCCGATGCATGTGGTCTTGTGTGCTTATCAAGCTCAGCTTCTCAGACTATCATCGAAGTGACATTGGCTCAGTATTTTACTTCGCTTACTTCAGAGGGTTCAAGGTTAAAGGTGTATCATGTAAATACAAAAGAGGAAATCCTTCAATGAACAATGGAGGATAAGTATAAATACACAAGATGAGATGAAATGTGGGAGCCCCAATCAGGAGCCCCTTTTTTTAAAAGGGGCGCCTGAAGTGTTTGTAGCCTGGTGTCCGACCCGAGAGGGGGCGCCGGATACTGTTCCGAGGGCTCTAAATAGTGGGATCCTTAAAGAATAGAAAAAAATACACAAAAAATGAAAATCAATCAAGATGTAAACCACTGAAAAGAGAAAAAAAGCGTCAAGATTAGAATTAGATTATCGAAGAAAAATCATCATTTTATAAAGAAAAAGATATAACTTACGTACTACGAAAGAAAAACCACAGATCATAAGTCCAATTCGATTTCTATACATAATCTCCACCGGTTTTTTCTTTTTGACTTTGGATTTGATGTGTAGGATTAATTTCATTTCCAGATTGATGAAATGCTTGATTAGATCCCATAGAATCACTTTGATAAGAATTTTGAGAAGTCGGACTTTTCGGTTTAGGATTAGTAGTAGTAGTAGTTTTGCTAGACTGATTATCTTGATCACAATCCTCAGGTTTCGGAGTATCTAAGCTGTCTGATGCTTCCTCCTTGGTATCTGACGAATCTGGGATCTTTGATGGATCATTGGTCTGCTCAGAAGAATGTTTCGATTGATGTTCAGTAGTACCAATGTTGTTATTCGAATTTCCTTGGGATATATTTAAATTAGGAATTGCTGCTTGGTTTTGTTGACTAGTTTTTTGATTCTTTTCATTGTCTGAAGTTGTTTTTTGATTATTAGAATTCAATGTATCACAATCTTGAGTCTTGGAAGTATCTGAGCTCGATGATGGGTTAGTTACTTCACCACTATCAAGTTTCGAATTCCTATTAGATGTATTTAGATTAGGAATAGATGATGAAGTCTTTTTGTTATTCGACGTTGAATGTTTTGGATCAAAGGTATATGAAGCATCTAAACTACTGATTTCTGCAGGATTATCACTAATCTCATTGGATGTTGGATTGAATTCGGTTGATGATTGGATCGAATGTGCTCCTAAATCGTTTAGATTATTGAGCTCTTGTATGATTTCTTTCATTTGATTCGAATAAAGAGATTGGAATTGACGAGTTTGAAACCTTTTATGATGGTTTAAGTTGATTTTATGAAATCTAGAATGACTCATTCCATAGAACTGATTAGAAATAAACAAAAATAATAAAATCTGGGATGAAGTTTTCATCTTTCTTAAAGGATATTACTTTCAAAGTCAAATAAAGAATAGAACAGATTACTGGAATCGGTTTCTTAAAAAAATGTTTTGGATAAGTTTGAATTGGTGAGGTGTTTTTGGAATTAAGATATGAAGGAGAGATAAAGAAGAAGGACGAGTCAAAGAATCTACACAATTTATATGCCTAATTGATCCTAAAGGCAATACGAACATTCAGAACCAAGAAATAAATGTTTCTCGTTGCATATCTATCATCTACACTTGAGTTTTCAATGCATTAGATTCTAACTTTTCCTTTGATGATTTATGCGAAAATAATTCAATTCAAAGGAGATCATATCTTTGAGCCTTTGTTTCTTCTGCATAGATATCTTGTGATCCTTAGTTACCAAGTGTTCAAAAGATCATCAAATCGAATACCACAAACTCAACAAACCTTGTTAAATATCGAAAGTTTCTTCAAATGAGAAACAAAGGAAATCTACAACACAACACTGTCACACATGATCGAGAGATTTCAAATCATATCAAAAACTTGATTTCGATTTCCCAAAGTTAATGAAAAGATATGATTGAGAGAACATGAAGACTTTTCTTCTCAAACAACCAAACTCAAACCTATATGATAACACCTTCACCTCAAGCTTGTGTTTTTTTCAGTCAGTAGATTGTAAAAAAAAGGCGTATGTATTCTTCTTCAAAGGACTTTTGTTTAGGTCTCAAACCACAGGGAATTGCCTCTTGCAAAAGGCACGAGGTATTATAAGACTGATCCCTGAGATAAGTGAGAAACGAGTTCTTTTATGAGTATAACCCCAATGGAGGTTAATAACTAACGGCTCGGAACAAACAGAACGGAAGTCTTTCCTCTCTACTTTGAGAAGGTGTCAAAACAAAACTTCTACCTGTCGGTGCAAGAACTCTCCAGATTTGTTGGATAATGGTAGACCTCCATAGAGCCTGAGGGAAGAACTCGCCTATATAGTCTTATCCTTACTGACACCTCTTTCTGGACCACAACAGGCTCTGGATGTCTAGAAGTTAACCCTCCAGTGCCACTCACATCTAATCCATTCCCTCAGGCTCACTTAATCAGAGAGCTAAGCAAAGAAAACCAAAAGTAACCAGAGATAATAATAAGAGATAATCAGTTGAGAATAAAATGATCAAGTCAAGCTACATCCTTGACCACGAATCTGATCCATCATCAAAAACCCTCAGCCCAAGTGAATTTTTTTTGTTGGTTATGATCAAAAAAATTCATACCATAGTCAAAAAATCACTTATGTAAACAAACACTTTAATCAAGACCTCAATCCTTATGTTTTGTTTTCTTTCATTCTCAAAACAAAACAAACCACACCTCTTTTAATCTTTTAATCTTTTAATCTGTATTAATATATAATATATCTAAATATATCTTTATACTCTTGATTTTTCTTTTTTCTGTTTTACAAATTCATTTAATAATCATTAATACAATACCAGCTACATCATCATCATCATCAAAAATCTATTTTTTTGTTTTCTTCTTCTTGTTGGTTAGCAATTCCATTTTGATTTTTTTCTTTCATTTTAACAGATAAACTAATTAGCTTACATTTTTTTTCTTTCTTCAATCAAATAAAAATAAAAAACCCAATTCATATATTTTACTTTTCAATAACCCCCTTCAACCTTTTATAAGTTAATGTCTGATCAACAACCAAACCCCAAAAACCAAAAAAAAGTTTCCAAACCTCCCCACTAAAAAAACCCCACAAGAAACCCATTGACCAAATTTGATGATTCTTATAAATTATACCTTTTAAACTTTCAATCCGAAAAAAAACCCATCAATCCAACTTTTTCCAAAACTTACATTCTCTACACCTACCATCCTCAAGAACGTCTTCATTCCCAGTCCTAGGCCAACACCAACACCCAGCCCAAATCCTATCCTTCTTCCCATTCTTTACTCTATTCCTCATCCTGTTCCACAAAACTTCTTTCATCCAACCATTCTGTGCATAATTTTGTCCCGTAGTTTGACGATTTAAAACCAATTTCATGATTTGTGAGAATCCAATATAATTCAAATTGATCAATTCTTTAGACGTATTGATCCCTAAGATTTGGAAATCGTTCGTTAGGTTTGGTAAGTTATAATGACATGATCTTAGTAAGCTTTCTAAACTTTCGATTTCTTTTGGTTTCTTGGGTTTTTCTTTTTGGATTTCTTTGACTCTTTTTTCTTTTTGGATTGAATTCATTCTTTTTGATTTTTCTTGTTCTTTTGCTTTTTGCTCTTCTTTTTCTTTTGAGTTTGATTGAGAATTTGAGTTTGATTGAGAATTTGAGTTTGATTGAGAGTTTGAGTTTGATTGAGAGTTTGATTGAGAGTTCGAGGAGTTTCGGTTCTTCTTTGCTGATTTTCTAATCGACCATAAATCTTCATCTAAATCAACTGATTCAGAATCAAGTTCTTTAACCTTTCCAAGCTTTACGATCTCTTGAACTTCATCATCATCATCACTTTCCAAAATCACTTTCCTTCTTCTCTTCTTACTATTCAACACACCTTCGATCCTCCTTTCGATCGTGCCTTCTTTTTCAATCATCCTACATCCTTTTCCAGGTCCATTCTTCTTTTCTTGTTCAATCTTTAAACTCTTCTTTTCTTGTTTAATCTTGAAACTCTTCTTCTTTTTATCTTCTTCTCCTTGTTGTTGTTGTGATACACGTGAAATTCTTCTTCTAGGTTCACCACCATTACCTACCCTAACCAACCCCTTCTCATTCTCTCTACACCCACTAATCACTTCAATCTCATCCTCATCCTCATCCTCATCATTCTTTAATACAACCTTTTGTTTCTTGTACTTTAATGATTTTTCAACTTCATTTTCATTCAACTTTCGTCCCATTTTCTTTTTAGATTTCCTTCCAAATGACCAAAGTTGATCTAATGTTTTCGGATGTGGGGTTTTCCATTCTTTTGGATCGATTTCTTTGATTTCTTCTTCATCGGAAGATATCTTTATAGCAGGTTCAGATCCTTCTTCTTCTTCCTCTTCATCCTCCTCTTCCTCATCTTCCTCCTCCTGCTCTTCTTCCTGCTCGTTTTCCCCTCCCTCTTCCTCTTCCTCCTCGTTTCCCTCTTCTTCCTCTTCCTCTTCTTCTCCTGTTTCAATTCCATCTCCTTTCCCTTCCCTAACCACCTTCATCCGATCAAACCAAACCTTTTGAGCATTCTTAGGTAAATAATCACCAGGTTTAGGCACATGAAACGTATGATTCAAATCAATTTCTTCTACAATCCATTCTTTATCTTCATCTGATTTAGTTGAAATCATTAATCGGAATCCACAATTGTCTCCGTGTGGTGGTAATCTATCTCGACTTGAAAAAAAAAATTACCAAAAAAAACACAAAACACATTTTTTTTTCGTTTCCATATTTGGTTAGTTCAGATTATGAGAGATTTTCTTTTTTTTTTCTTGGAGGGATTCGTATTTTTGTTTTTCATTTTTGAAATGGGTAATTATTGGATTTATGTATATATCGAAAAAAAACTTACTAGCAAGCATAAGTAATCCGATTCTTAAGATGATTCCGACTTCTAACATGCTACAAACCCAAAATCCCAAAAAGATCCCAAACATTTGATCTTCAACATACCACCCCCAAAAAAATTCAATCTATTTCGATTGATGAACCAAAGAATAGGTAAACACTTACGATATGATGACCACGTGACCAAGCAGCTTGACAAGAAACAAATTTAAAATCGTTTAGGTTTGCAAATCTTTCACCTACTTTTGGGTAAGCTGGAAAGGATCGGTTTGGTTTGGTTTTTGGATCTGTTGTAGGTTTAGGTTTGGATGATCGGTTTGGTTTTTTGAGAGTTGATGGTTTATGATGAGAATGAGAATTATGTTTAGATGATCGGTTCGGGGTTGGACGATGATGGGTTTGGTTGGTATGAACTTTAGAGTGGTGATAAGATCCATGGTCTTGGTCCGATTCTTCAACTCCAGAATCACTCAAAACGATTGGTTTACAATTCTTCACAGGTTCTGAAGCATCATGATCAACTCGAATTGGATTTTGTTGATTAGTTTGGATAGGTGTGGGTCGGATTGATGGGTCGGGTTTTGGTTTCGGGTCTGGGATAGATGTAGGTAAGCTGTCTTGAATGTCTTGAAGTAAAGTAGATAACGAGTTAGGGATTGAAGATGTTGATTGGTTTTGATTTTGGTGAGGTGGAATCGGGGTTGTGGTTGGTTGGATTGGTTGAGCTTCGAGTTGGAGTTGGTGTGCTTGAATTGGATATTGTGTTATATACTGATTTGGTATGATTGGATGATAATGATGATAATGGTGATGATGATGAATTGTAGCATTAGTTGTTGTTGTTGTTGTAGTAGTAGTCGATTGGTAATCTAGTATGAATAGATTAGGATCGATTGAATTTAAAAATGATGGTTCTTGTTCTTGTTGTTGTTGGTTTTGATCGAATAAGACTTGATCTACTAAGTCTTGAATGGTATCAGTTTCGATGGATTGGTTTAATAATCTCTTCATTTCATCTTCTATTTCCATCTTTGCTTTGTCTTTCTGCTTCTATTTCTGTTTTTTTCTTCGTTTTTCGGTTTCTTTCTTTGTTTCTTTCGTTTCGTTTTCTCGCTTGCTTTGTGTTTCTTGTTCTTTCTTCGTGTTTTGTGTTTTGTGTTTTGTGAAATGGTGTTTCCTTTGTTGAGTTGATGTTGATTTGGAATTTTTAATTTTTAAATTTTGATCGATTCGATATAAGCATCTTCACTCATCTGTAATCTACATACAACTACATTACATTTACATATCACTTTCTCAATCGTATGTACATATCCAGTCCACCAAATTGCTCATCAAATCTCTCATTTTAGATCATTTCAAGAAAAGATAAATTACAATATCATATCACATCCACCCAATCTCCAAAAAAACAATCCAATCAAATACACTAAAAAATATATATACCTCCATCTCAATCCAAAAACCAATTAATTAATTACTAAACACTAATCCTTCTAGTCCAAAACCGATACCTAGTAGGCCCCGCTCTCTCTTCTTTTTCTTGATCTTTGATATCCATCTTTCTAATCTCATTCAAAACATCTAATCTATACTCACAAATCCTAGAATTTGGAAAATCAATAAACAAAGCATTATATTTCCATTCACCTCCTCCTTCCTAAAAACAAAAAAAACCCAATCAAAACTATTAGCCAAACACCATCCAATCAAATCTATGACTTAAACTCTGTAGAAGAAAAAATAACGCAACTTTGATAATTTTGGCTGTGACTTCTCCTTGGGTAAAAGTACCTAAAGTAGGTAACCTTTTTTCTTTCCAACTTCTTTCTTTGGTTTTTGATAAGCCTTGGGTCATTGGTTTAGGTAAAAGACTACCTACTAATTCTTTTAACCAATCCTTTTGACGATGATCATCTTTTTCAGTCACAAGATCTTTTACATTCGGTTTATTAGAAATCCCTTGATGATTTACTTCAGAAGTGATCAATGGACCAATCCATCTCTTTGTCATACTTTTCCACCATTCTAGATCCAGGACCTCGTAGGTTGTTGAAGAAGCTGTCGGACTTCCTTCGATCATGAATCTGATTTCGACACATTGAGGTAAGTTTTCGAGGTTTTTCATTCGTTTGGAAGCATTCGAATGCACAGAAGTATGAAACTTGTAGGGAACTTGTAAGATTTCACTCAAGATTTTCGATCGGTTTAGTGTTTCGGTGATCGAAATCATTAAGTTGGTAGACGAAGAAGGAGCAAATAGTTCAGATGTAATACTATAAATCTATCCAAAATCAAAAATCAATCCTTTTGTTTTTTGAATCGGAGGGTTGGAAAGGCTTACGACTAAGATTCCTAGTGATCCTCCAAAGCCTACGACTAGGATGTTTTTCCCGTTCCTTAAGACTCTTTTGGCCTTTTCATTCCATCTGATTTGGTTCCATTTCATTTGAGAATTAGATGAACTTGGGTTTTCGTCAGTCGGGATTCGGAACGGTCCTATCCTTGGGTTCTTTTGGAAATCTCTTTCGGTTAGGGACTTTAGTTCTTCGGTTAATGATTTGTGATAAGTTGATCTGGTTTGGTGAAGGGTTCGTGCAAATGGTTTCGTGAGGTTTGGTGAAGATGCTGAGGAGTGGGTTGGTGGGAATGGTTGGGGTTGGTGGTGAGTGTAGTGTAGGAAGTGGGAATGGATGGGTCTTGTTGATGGTAATTCGAAAGTACTGGATAATATGAAGCTTGTCAACTTTTTAGGTCTCATGCTGTCTTGTTGGTAAAATTGAAAAGAGAAAAGTTGAAATGATCGAAATCCAAACGGGTTTCAGTATAAGCATTCTATCCTTAACGTCCGACTATCCCGAGTACATATCCCGAGTCCGACCCATCGGAAACAAAAACTCGATCTGTAACCGATTTTTTGGTTTTCCTTTGGTTTGGGAATGAACCATTATTTGATATCAAGAAAATTATTATCATTCATCAGATTTCCTACTAAAACAAATTACCATTTCACAAAGACTTCATCTAGAACATACTCAGAAATAATGAACTCAATACCTAATTCAACCTCAACCGAACTTCCAAAAAAACCTGATCCAACAACTTCAACCGCAACCCAAAAAGAACTCTCATCAATCCCCACACCCTCAACCGTCCAAGACCCTCTCGAACCCAAACCCAACACAGAAAAAAACCCAATCCGAAAACGTAAAAGAAAACCAAGCAAAAAGAAACCAATAAGTTCGAGTGAAGAATCAATAGAATATAGTATACAAGAATTATTAGGTGATCAAAGGTACCGAGACTTGGTAGAGAAAGAAGTTCGGTTTGAGCAATCTGGTTGGGAGCTTGGTGGGGATGGGATGCTTGAGGTTAGGGTTCATTCGATTGGTAGTTTTGGTATGGGTTTTGATTTTATATTCTCACGTATTCAAAAAGCCTGATGAATTTTGTTTTTCTGGGGGGGGTGGGTAAGGTGATGGATTATCGATTTCTCCAAACCAGAATTGGATCCTAGTCATCCCATTCACAGTTCCAAACGATTTAGTCAAAATAAAAGTTTATAGACATGACACTTTACATTCATTTGCTGATTTGATTTCGATCATTGAGTTTGGAACTTGGAGAGATAATTCATTGATTAAGTGTCAGTATTTTGGTAAATGTTCTGGTTGCCAAGTAAGTTAAATTCATCAAAACATGAAATGCGTCTGCAAATTGTTGACTTTTTTGGGGGGTTTTAGTATCAGATGATTAGTTATGAGAAACAACTTGAACTTAAACAGATTGTTGTGGAAAAAGCTTTTAAACATTTCTCTGGTACGGTTTTCATTTACAATTTATCCGAATCGAATTTTATCCTATACTGAACCATATCTAAACACTTTTTTGATTTTTTGGGGGGAAAATAGGTTTAGATCCTAGTTTGTTACCTAAGATTGAACCTACTCTTCCTTCTCCTTTACAATACGCTTATCGTACTAAACTTACACCTCATTTCGAGTTACCAAGAAATATTAAAGCACCTCAGAGTAAATTAGAAAGTAAATCAGAAAGCAAATTAGAAACGAAACTAGAAACTAAAGAAGAAACTAAAGAACAAGAAGGAAATGGGATTGGGATTGGAAATGGAAATGGGAAAAACGAACTAAGGATCGGTTTTGCAGAAAAAGGAAGGAAAAGAGTCCTAGATATTGAAGATTGTATGATTGCTACATCTGTAATTAATGAAAAGTTAACACAAGAAAGGAACCGAGTTCGATCGTGAGTGTTCTTCTTAACCCTGAACACCATTTATGTCTTACGATTTTGATACGGGTTTGGATAGGACTATTCATACGTTTAAAAGAGGTGCGACTTTACTACTACGTGATTCGTTAATTCCGATCACCCAAACGGGCAAAACCGAAACCAAAGAAAGCTTGGAACTCGCTACCACAGAGCCGGATAGACATATTTGTGTAACGAATCATAAAGAGATTGTGAGGGAAAAAGTCTTATCCGTTCACTTTGAACAAAACGCAGGTTCATTCTTTCAAAATAATTCCTCAATCTTGAACCCTTTTTTATCGTATATAAAATCACTTTTGGATGATCATAAACCATCAAGAAAAAAAGAAGAAGGGCAAGAAGGAGAAGGAGAAGAAAGATATTTGGTAGATGCGTATTGTGGATCAGGATTGTTTTCGATCGGATTAGCTGATCAGTTTACAAAATCAATGGGAATTGAAGTTTCGAGTGAATCGATTTATTGGGCAAAACATAATGCTAAACTAAACAAGATTGAAAACGTTGAGTTTATGGTAGGAAAAGCCGAAGCGATCTTTGCAGTAAGTCCTTGAACCCCTTTAAACTTTCATTAAAGCCGTTTGTTAAAGATTTTTTTCTTCATAGGATTTAAACTTTCCGGCTCAGATGACTACAGTGATTATTGATCCACCAAGAAAAGGATGCGATGAAGTGTTTCTTGATCAGTTATTGGATTTCAAACCTAAGAGAATTCTGTATGTTAGTTGTAATGTACATACTCAGGCTCGTGATGTTGGAAGATTAGGAAAGGTTTATAAAGTTCAAAGTATTAGAGGGGCTGATTTTTTTCCTCAGTCTCATCATTGTGAATCGATTGTATCATTAAGTTTGATTGAATAGAATAGATTGGTGATTGGATTTGGTATCTTTTTTTGGGTTGAAGGGGGGTACGATGGATTGGGTTGGTTGGGATCATTTTGTGAAGATTATGGTTTGAAAAAGTGGGTTTTGGAAAGCTAGGTTCGGATCTGATATATCTGGAATTTATACCATTTTAAAGGGTTTGGTAGGATAACAAAGGGGTGTTGGATGAGAAGATTGAGTTTTAGATCTTCTAGATTGTTTTAGACATCTTTTTATTTGAAAAGATGGATCGAATCTCAAGGTAGTAGTAAGTACCAGGTAGAAAAGGATTTGTGAGAACATGTAGAATCGGATTCCGGAATGAAGTTTTCAAATTTGGAATATCTTTTTGAAAATCTCATTTTCAGTCAACTTACGCTTTGGAGTGCATAGTGGTCTGGTTTAGGTGTAGGAAACATGAACAGTTCTTTTAGCGTTCATTGAGAATTTTAACTTGTTCATAAACAGATTCACGTTTATTTCGACATCATGAGTTGAAGGTTTAGATTTGAATTCATTAGTTTCAAATAAGACTTGAAAAGTGTAATACTGAATGTGATAAGTTTAACAAGTATGAAAAACATGTCATGAGATCAAAAGAAACACGTTCAAAAAAAGAAATCATTGATATTTTCCAAGTTATTTACCTTGAGAAATCTCATTTCAGGGCCCGTGGAGAGGGCCCCCGACTCACGGGCACTGTGACTGACATTATGAAGTACATAGTGATCTGGTTTGAGTGTAGGAAACGTGAGCACGTTTGTTGGGCTCATTAGGAATTTTAACTTGGTCATCAACAAATTCATATTTCTTTTGACAACATGAGAATCAGATGAAGGTTTATATACAATTGAATTAGTTTCAAATAAGACTTAAGAGATGTAATACGAATATGACAAGTTTAACAAATAAATAAGAAAAACATGTCATAAGATCAAAAGAAACCCCTTAAGAGTGAAAGAAATCATTGATATTTAACATTTTGAGTTGTTTACCTTATGAAAGCTTTGTAGAACGTTTTTGAATTCGAATTGAATTCGATCCATTTCCATTGTTATTGTTGTTGGAATTGGTTTCTAAATTCTCATTGGGTGAAAGGTTATTAATTGATACTTGTCGATTCACATTATTACCACCTTGGTTGTTTGATTGATTGGTATTCACACTTCGGTTCACTTGGTTGATATTGTTGTTTTGTCCGTTTTGTCCGTTTTGTTGTTTTGTCCGTTCAGGTTTTGGTTGTTGTTTCCATTCAAGTTTTGGTTGTTGTTGTTTCCGTTTCCATTCAAGTTTTGGCTGTTGGTGTTTCCGTTCAAGTTTTGGCTGTTGGTATTTCCATTCAAGTTTTGGTTGTTGCTGTTTCCATTTGAGTTTTGGTTGTTGTTTCCACTGAAATTGTTGTTTCCGTTGAGGTTGGAATTTCCATTGAAGTTGCTATTTCCGTTGAGGTTGCTATTTCCATTGAGGTTGCTATTTCCATTGAGGTTGCTATTTCCGTTCGAGTTGTTATTTCCGTTGGAGTTGTTATTTCCGTTGAAATTGTTATTTCCGTTGAAGTTTTGATTGTTTCCTCCATTGGTGTTAAAGTTATTTTGTCCACTGTTGGTATTGAAATTTTGATTATTTCCTCCATTGGTGTTAATGTTGCTTTGGCCATTGACACCCTGTCGATTGGTTTGATTTAATTGATTGTTGTTATTGTTATTGTTATTGTTATTGTTGTTCTGTCCGTTGATTTGATTGTTGTTTTGACCATTGAGCTGGTTACCAGAAAGTGTGTTCTGATTAGTATTGACACTTCGGTTGATTTGATTGTTGTTGTTGTTATTCTGATTGTTGTTGTTCAAATTGTTGTTATTTTGATTATTATTGTTCAAGTTATTATTGAGGTTGTTGTTATTTCCGTTGGTGTTGCCATTGTTGAGATTAGAGTTTCCATTGAGATTCTGCTGGGTATTAAAGTTGTTGGAAAATTGACCAAGATTGTTGGCGCCTTGGTTATCAAATGATCTCAGTGAAGTTGTAGTAGCCAGAGTAGATCCATCTATGCTCTGTCGACGGTCCATCTATAGGGTAGAAAAGAGCCAAGAATGTCAATACGAAAACAAAATCGTAAGGAGTGATAAGATGGGAATGAGAGAGACAGTTGAACATACCCTGAGGGGCTGTTTTCTTGTGGCGAGCTCTGAGGGCGTTGCAAAGACCAGAGAGACGAGGATTGCAAAGACAAAGTGGCCATGTACGATGGAAGACGGCATAATTAGTGAGGGAAGGGTGGGGTATTATTTCAACGAGCTCTGGTCGATTTACAAAATTTGCGATACGGATTAGCGTCGAGTTCACTTCAAATTGATAACTTTTAATAACTTATAATAAATTAATGACCGACCAGCGGGTAAGGTAAAGACAAAAAATAAAACTAATTAGATAATGATGAGGAATAAGATATTATTTTGGTATTAAGAGACACTGGGGGGCACACTGCACAGAACGAGATGATATTTATCAGTAGACACATTATGAGTCCCTGGAATTCCCCTCCCTACGCCTAGACAAAGAATCTCCTGCAAGCTGGCCCGCAGGCTGGTCTGAAGAGCTTGGCAACTCATCTTCGACGGTGAGTGTGACTTTCACTTGATGGGATGACGTTCATTCAAGGATTCGTCTAGCAATGAGCCACGAGAGCTTAATTATCGGTGAAGTGTTTCTGCGTAGTGCTTTCTGACTGATACAGGCTGTATCACAGTGAGGTGTCAAGAGAATTTGTTGCTTGCAAGCTTAACTCGTTGCTTGACACCGGCCAGCTAAAGAAAGCTTTCGATCGTTTCTTGGGTCAGATTCTTGGACCACCAGTTCACCCGGGCTACTTCAAGCACAGTCCAAATCGAAGGACAGCTATTTGCTCCAGCACGGCAACTCTCACGAGCTTCTACATGGGGTTGGTGAGATCATCGCTGAGTATCGCTAGTTAACACCCAGTCCTGACCGCTCGATTTTATCTGGTAGAGACTTGGAATCTGAAGACACCCATCGTGGCAACCTGGCGGTTCGATCCGACCGATTCCACTCGTTGTTTTTGTCAGACATCATGTTATGGAAAAAGTTCAGCTTCAAGATCATTCAACAAGCTTGATCCTAGAGGATAGGTCCTTGAGTCTACGAACCCACCTCGCGCGTTTCGCAAGATTATCTATTGAGGAACAAAATTTCTTCACATCATCAGTAATTCCGCAGGCCGGAAGATAGCCTCATCCGACGATGACTTTCTTATATTCGATCTTTTCTCTCAACCTTGTCTTCTACTCACTCTCTTCCATACCTTGGTCAGTCACAGGCGCACCTTCCTCCATTGAAGACACGACTGGTGCTCTGGCGAGTCAAAGGGGGAATGAGCACCTCACCACTGGTATCATCGATCCTCCCAACCTTCGACCTACATCCGAAAATCGTGCTGTCAGCTTCAATGTGAACAATGCATCAAGCCCAATCCGAAGGTATGTCATAGAGTTCCCTTCGATCCTGAACTTTATTCATATGCTAAGATCTTGTACTTCAAAGGCGGTCTATCGTCCCCAATTCAAGTTTACGTCCACGCATGCCACAAAATAATGGTAACATTGGAAATCAGAATGGAGTTCAGAACAACAATCAGCAAGGACAGAATTTCGCACAGCAAAACATCAATCAGCAAGGACAAAATAATCAGCAAGGACAAAACTTCGCATCACAAACTAACAACGGTAATATACTCAATAATCAGCAAGGACAAAATTTCGCACAGCAAAACATCAATCAGCAAGGACAAAATAATCAGCAAGGACAAAACTTCGCATCACAAAATAACAACGGTAATATACTCAATAATCAGCAAGGACAAAACTTCGCCTCACAAACTAATAATGGCAATATACTCAATACCCAGCCAGGACAAAACCTCGCATCACAAAACAACAACGGAAATACCAACAACAATCAGCAAGGACAGAATCTCGCACAACAAAACATCAATCAGCAAGGACAAAATAATCAGCAAGGGCAGAATCTCGCACAACAAAACATCAATCAGCAAGGACAAAACTTCGCATCACAAACTAACAACGGTAATATACTCAATACCCAGCAAGGACAAAACCTCGCATCACAAAATAGCAACGGTAATATAATCAATACCCAGCAAAGACAAACTACCACACCACAAAATAACAACGGTAATATACTCAATAATCAGCAAGGACAAAACTTCGCCTCACAAACTAATAATGGCAATATACTCAATACCCAGCAAGGACAAAACCTCGCATCACAAAATAACAACGGTAATATAATCAATACCCAGCAAAGACAAACTACCACACCACAAAACAACAACGGAAATACCAACAACAATCAGCAAGGACAAAACCTCGCATCACAAAATAGCAACGGTAATATAATCAATACCCAGCAAAGACAAACTACCACACCACAAAACAACAACGGAAATGCCAACAACAATCAGCAAGCACAGAATCTCGCACAACAAAACATCAATCAGCAAGGACAAAACAACAACGGTATCAATCAACAGGCACAAAACAACAACGGTAACAGTCAGCAAGGACAAAACCGAAATCAACAAACCGGAGGGGTGACTGTCATCAACTTTTCCACTCCAGTTCAAATTTCAGGAGGCGTAAGCAACATATTCACAATTCAAGATCTTTCTTCCATTCAAAGTGGTCTAATGTTACTTTCTCTGAACCATTACAATTCGTAGAACAGCCGCACTGTTGTACAATATGCGGATGGATTTAACGTTGACACGATATCCGCTAATCGACATACTCTCAACGTTCAGTTGAATCAGAAACCCCCTTCTACCGATTTCGTCACCCCACTTGATCCATCTCGAAGTCCTATTGGAGGCCCCTGGGTCGCTCTCACCGATTATTCGTATGTGATGACCTTTGAAAACGCCAACCCCGATGATCTGGTGATGCGACTTCAAGTGCCTTATAACCAAAATCAATTGACTTCACGCGGCGTGAGTGATAGTAATGTTTACCTGGCATTATATGAGCCGATGCGTTCAGGCTGGGTCATTGATATGGATCGATCAGAAAATCGTCGGTAAGATTATTCTCAATCTCTAAATCCATTTGTCGGAAGCTCACCGTGCATCCTCCTTCACAGTCAAGCTCGTGTGACCGAATTGAATGGAATTGCTGCTCCGAGAGGCGAATACATTCTTCTCGCAAGAAAGACAACCCAAAACAACGACGAATCAAATCCATTCTTGCGTTTTGGAACCTCCTCACAAAACCAATTTAATGTCTTACCTCCCCCGCAAGAGGCCAATATGCCACCTCTACAGATCGGCTCATGGCAAGACGGCAGCAAGGTGATGGTCAGGAGCTCGGGACCTATGCAAATTCAGATGAGCCTTGGTAACGTCTCCGCTCAAGCCATTCCACCTGGTTTTCAATCCCCCAGTAAGTCTTGACATCTTCATCGTACCTGTTTAATACTGACGACCTACATTGATATCTTAGGTCGATACGCCTGTGTTATCAGAGTCAATACAGACCAAGTTACTTCCGTCACACATCTTCAGATGCCATGTATGCGATCTCTCTCTCCTTTTATTTCCTTATCATGAAAAGTTTACTGAGATATCTTTCAATTCATCAGATGTACCGACTCTACTCACTCAAAGAAGTATCGATCCTTCGACTCTCGTGGTCATGGGTAGACCACTTGGCTCACAAGCACCTTATCAAGTGCTTTCCTCGACAAGCTTGACGGGTAACAGTGTTTTGATGAACACGCCTATGACCATGGTCTCAGGCGAATTCTTGCTAGGTGCACCTGGCCAAGCTATTTCCCGCACCATCGCTCCACAAAATCCCGTACCAGGCGCACCAATCGCTCAACCTCGACCTGTGGGACCCACGGAGGCGTTGATATCACCTACAGGAACCGCTGCGTTCGCCCCAGCGCCCCTCGCAGCCACGCCACTGCAGCCAGGAGGAGTTCCAGTCAGTCAGCAGGCTCCGATTAACCAACCTGCTCTCACCAACCAAGCGCCTTTGATGCAACAACCAATGACTGCTCAGCCCTTGATCCAACCGGCAGCTGCTTCGACAAGCCGTCTTATTGACCTTACAAATTCTCAAAATCCTAGCCAGGAAACTAGTGCGCTTTTTCAGAACGTCCCTGGACTCAACAACCTTACCCCTTCTACTCCCCAAAATCTCCGTAATGCTTTTCCAAATGAAGGACCCCTATTTAGTTAACAATATGCCAAGCGCATTTGTCGGGATACTTTCCAAGAATGAAATCTGTGACAAAGGTTTGATAAATAAATAATTTAAATGTAGCATACAACTTGTCTCACCACTCGCATGAATTGCACCAGATAATACTCAGTAGGAATTGATCACACTTTTAGAAACGTATCCTGAATCATTGTGCCTCAGAGAATGATAAATATTCGCCGCACATGCAAAAATTGCTACCATGGCTCAGGGCTCCCTCCGGTCCGTGGAACCTCTGGGCTCAAAAGCCCCATAGCCATGTTCTGTATCCTGACTAAAACATTATGAGTTCTCGATGAATTTGCCCACCCAGATCGCATATGTGAGAATACCTGAACAATGATCAAAGATGTATTCACCTACTCAACACCGCAGTTCGCCCTTAGTACTTCTCCTGACGAGTATAATTTTAAAATGGCGAGGGCTCGCTGTTATTGCTGCACAATTTCCAATTTGTGTTTCTCAAATTAGCCTGATGGATGTGGCATGGACCTTGAAAAGTCGTTCCTTTTTTGCTTCTTGTCGAAAGTTTCCTTTGAACCGTAGTCTGGTCTCCATCTTAACCTCTCGATGCAAAGATATAAAGTCTGTTATTGCATGCGGTAAATCGATGACGCTCCATTTCTAAACTTATCCTGGTAAAGCTCACTCGATTTCCCTTGCGGGCAGGGACAAGTACCTCGCAGCAACTCCAAATGGTCCTGCGCTGAAGTACGAGACCGGTGCGTCCGAATCCCAGCTTAAACGTAGGTAACGTGTTCACCTGAAAGCTCATCAAGCTCATAAGCTCCATGTCAAGCTTGTTATTCCATGGTCTGTCGTATTGGAATGGTGAATGGTTTGATAACAACGGGGAATGTTGTTTTGGACAACATGCTTGGGCTTTTCAGGGTCCAGAACCGGGTATGCAGCGTTGGCTTCAAGGAAGTTTTTGGAAGTGAACCTACGACACAATGAGACGATAGATCCATAGGTTCTTCAGCGTGTAGTATTGACGGTTTGACCGTTTTGCCTCATCTTGCTGAGATATCGAGATTCTCATCCTTTGCCAAAGTCTGTTTCGTCCTCAAGACGACGAGCAGGTGAATTTCGATCGATTTGTAAGTCGCCCTGTTTCAAATCTTAATCTGCTTGCGCGGCTCACTCACTCGAAGAGTCAAGTATCATCGGCAAGGGAAATGTCTAGTTGAGGAGACCCTATACCTCTGCGCAGATGTCCCCATGTCCAAGCCGTGCACGTTTCGTTTGGCTGTTTTGGAAGTCCAACATTCGTGGAATGTTGTTCTTACCACTCGATTGAACTACACGCAGCGTATTCCTTGGATTCTGGTCAGGAAGAGGTCGCTGACGGTCAGCGCGACTATTGCTGTTCCAACCAGGTAAATCCTACGTTTTACTACATTGATGGTTCGCTCAAACCACAGAAACCTGCGACACTTGCTGCTGATTTCGATCTTCCGCCAAATTCATGATTGACTCGAGGAAATCCTCTCAAACCGCAGAGCCAGCCAAGGGTGACCAACGTGGGTCGATCGTGGAATGGCAGATTTTGTAAAGGTATATAAACAAGACTCTTGGTCAACCGACGCTTTTTCCTCATTCTGCATCTCTGGCCTATCATTCATTTTATTGTCAAAGACGTCGATATCTCCTAATCTATCTATTGTTTGTTGCATCATAAACTCATATCATCGGCATTATTTAGTGTTAACATCCTCAGTAATCCTCTCTGTCCTCAGTCATTCATTCGCGACACCGCTCATTTACACATTCATTTATTATATATACCTACATCGACTTGAGGCGATACAAAACTAAGACATCGTTTTTCTCGCGACATACCTTCTCTTGATCCAGTATGAAGGGATATTCTCGCCTATTTCTATTGTCTGCTTATGGGCTGAAATGGGTTCATGCCGAGGCCAACGTGACCGTTGCGTCCTTTGGACATCCGTTCAGCATCGCTGGTGAAGTAAGAGATGTCTACAACTTTTACGTATCACTCATAATACTGACTTTTTCCCGTGATTCTAGAACGCAAGATCTGAAGTAGAAGTATCCAATGAGCTCACCATTGATGCCTACTCCGCAACAACCCACAAAATTACCGTCACTCGCAATCATCCTTCTGCTACTGCAGATTATGTCACGGCCTATGATACCTCCTCCACAGGACTTTCAGGTTCTTGGGTGGCATTGAATAAGTATTCATACAGAGTCCGAGTGGACGACGGTCAATCAGAAGCTGATGACATGATTGTTAACTTGGAGGCAAAGTACGACCCAGCTCAACTCCAGTCTAAAGAAATCGAAATTTCCAACGTTTATTTAGGACGCTACAATGCTACCCGTGCTGGTTGGGTTATTGATAACGAGCGCGCAAATGTTCAGATGTGAGTAGACCACATTTCATCAAATAATAAATCCTTTCTTCTATCAGCTTAATCTCACTCAATCCCTTACGATGTTTTCAAATTTTGTAACCCCTAAAGCAACGAGAACCACGCCCGCATCATCGGTCTCAATTCTGCCGACGGAGACCTATATGCTTTTGGGACGCGTCTCCGACGAAGCACAGAACGTCTTCATCCAGTTTTCTTCTTCGTCAGCTGGGCCACCAATTGGACTGTGACGCACCCTCATCCGCCACTGGACTCCCGACCGCTCTCCAGTAGGATTTGGTCGATGGAG